TTATGTGATTGGTTAGGGGTACATGGTTGCATGCATATGGGCCTTTCAAAAGATAATAGGATGGTCACAAAACAATTCTGGTATGTTTTTTGGGGAACATACTATCAAAACTTCTTTCCCCCTTTCCGCTCTACCCAGAGCAGGGTCCATACGGCGTTGTCCTGGCTCCCGTCGTAACTTAAAAGGGAAACTTTAACAATGTCCGGAGCCCTTGCCGTCCTGCAGATGAAGGAGGAGGGTGTCCTCAAATTCCTTGCTGCAGGCACCCATGTAGGTGGCACCAACCTTGACTTCCAAATGGAACAGTACATCTACCAAAGGAGAAGTGATGGCATCTCCATCATAAACCGGAAGAGGACCTGGGAGAAGCTTCTGCTGGCTGCTCGCGCCATTGTGGCCGTTGAAAACCCTGCTGACGTCAGCGTCGTCTCTTCCAGGAACACTGGCCAGCGCGCTGTGCTGAAGTTTGCTGCGGCCACTGGAGCTGCTCCAATTGCTGGGCGCTTCACTCCAGGAACCTTCACTAACCAGATCCAGGCAGCCTTCTGGGAGCCACGGCTTCTAGTGGGGACTGACCCCAGGGCTGACCCCCAGCCCCTCACAGAGGCCTCTGACGTTCACTTGCCCACCATTGCTCTGTGTCACACAGATTCTCCTCTGCGCTACGTGGACTTTGCCATCCCGTGTAACAACAAGGGAGCTCACTCCGTGGGCCTGATGTGGTGGATGCTGGCCCGGGAAGTTTTGCGCATGCGGGGCACCATTCCCTTGGGAACACCCGTGGGAAGTCATGCCTGATCGCTACTTCTACAGAGACCCAGAGGAGATTGAAAAGGAAGAGCAGGCCACTGCTGAAAAGGCTGTGCCCAAGGAAGAGTTGCAGGGCGAATGGACTGCTCCTGCTCTCGAGTTCACTGCTGCTCAGCCCGAGGTGGCCGACTGGTCTGAGGGCATGCAGGTGCCCTCTGCGCCGATCCAGCAGTTCTCCACTGACTGGAGCGCTCAGCCCACAACTGAAGACTGGTCCACAGCTCCCACTGCTCAGGCCACTGAGTGGGTAGGAACAACCACTGAGTGGTCCTAAACTTTCTTCCATGGAAATTAGGTTGATGGGAAATAAAGACAGATTTCCACAAAAACAAGACAAAACAAACTTCATTCCCAACCAGGCCTATTCCAAGAGGTTGGTTGTAAAGCAGATATTCAATAATGCTGCGGGTCAAGGCCCACTGGGTACACACTATAGACATCTCGCATTGGCCTTAACATTTCAGTGGTGGCATTTCAGTGTACACACTAGGGTGCTAACTAAGGTCAATGGTTCAAACTCACCTTCAGGAAAAACATGAAACCATACGGAGCTGTTCTACTCTGTCAAAATGCACCCCACTGCAGTGGGTTTATTGTACATGGTTAAGTCAAGACAAACATTAACATCTCCCAAATTCAAGCTCACTGACATTGAGTCAATTCTGACTCATACTGACTCCATGGTACAGGATAGAACTTCTCCTGTGGGTTTCCAAAATTAACT